TGGATGTGAATGTTTTCCCAATCTTTGGCTCAAATACACAACTGTTGTGCGCAGCGGAACCGAAGGCACACAAATACAAATGAGATTGGAACACTAATCAACAACCATAACAAGTAACACAAATGCAAGATACCAGATTTTTACGTGGTTCGACAAATCTGCCTACGTCCACGGGAGCGGCATAATAATTTCTTATTAATAATAAGAAATTACAACTAAGAGAGAAGATCTAAATCTTGAGATTTCTCAATCAAATAATAAGTGATTTCAATCTAAAATCAATGCTCAAACTTTCTCTCTTAAATACACAAAACCCCCAATTTAATTTCACCAACATTCTTCTCAAATTTATGAGAATGGGACAAAAGGGGCTTCACTACAAGAAATTACATCTTTAACAAAGGGATTTCCTTCGTTAAAGAGCTGAAAACCTTCGTTATTGTATGCTAACGATGGGGAAAAATCCCTTCGTCACCCGTCGTTGAAGCCCTCTTCGCTAAAGGGTCACGAAGGGATATACTACCCGTCGTTATAGAGTCTATAACGACGGAACATATTACCATCATTAATATTTACGACGGTAATTATCACCGTCGTTACCATCAGTAACGGGGATATTTTTCCGTCGTTACCATCAGTGATGGGATATTTTCCCGTCGTTACCATTAGTTACAGGGATATTTTCCCGTCGTTACCATTAGTTACGGGAATATTTTCCCATCGTTAAAGACTAATTAATGACGGTTGGATACCGTCGTAAAAGTCCTCATAATGGGTAATTAGTAACCCATCAACGACGGTGCTTTCCCTTCATTGATGAACAAAATATGGTTTATAAAACCGTCATTGTAGACTACAAATTTGTAATATACATTAATAATAAATTTTTCATTCATAGGTAACTATCATATTATTCTCAACCAGACACTAAGATCACATCAAAGATATATTAAAAATACCCAATAATGAATAAGAGGTAAAATAAAAATTCCATTCATTAATAACATCAATAAATAAAATTCCACCATCCTCAAATATTCAATACTAATAATAAGAGTTAATATCCTAATTGTTCCAAAGAAAAATACATGAAACTTTCTAAAACAAATTAAAATAAAAGTTTGGGGAAGACAAATCTCTGACACCTCTAATCATCATCAAAAGAAGACTCGAGCTACCCCCTCCTAATCTTGCATGGATAGCCTGAAAAATTTAAAAAAATCATATAATTAAAAAATATCAATTAAGCAAATATTATCTTATTAAGTAAAAAATTACATTTTTTAGTGCAAGTAGTCAATCATAAAAGTATATAAGAGATTTTACAAAAAATAATTACCTAGTCCTGCACATGTTCTCGAGTTTGAGGAGTCAATAAAGGTGATTGCCTAAAATGCCACCCTTATTCAAATATTAAATAAAAATGAGTACAACATCAAACTAAAAAACAAAGTAGTTATAAATAAATAAGAAATTAGTTTTGAATGTATACCAATTCCCACGCAATTTGTCTAAAGGGTTTGCTTCCCGTGTGGTGGAGCATCTTTCTTTTGCCTCTGTTAAGTGTATTTTGTTGGCTTGCTTTCTATACATCAACATTAAAAGATAATTTCAACAATCCAACAATATACATGGAACAAAATTAATAAAATTAGGAGATTAATACCTGAAATTTTGAAGAAAAATAATGTTCCTTAACTAGCCAATCCCAGTCACCAACACTCACTTCTGTAGGTTTATTTCTAAGTGCAACTTGCAATGAATTTTATTTCACATATTTCCTATGCATGTCACCACGCCACTTATTCCACAAATCGCGCAAGTGTCTCATTACTAACTCTCTCTTTTGCTCTATGTCCTCAGCATCAAATTTATCCTATATCAAATTTGAATCAAAATTTAATTTATAAAAATTAAAAACCAAATGCAAAAAATTAATTTTTAATGTACCTTAATGGATGCCCACATATGATCTTTATTTTGTTATGGTATTTTGGCCCAATTCTCAACAGCTACTGGGCAAATATTTCTATCACGAATAATAATTCCAAGATATCGTGAAAATTCTGGCTCAATAGCTCTATTCTGATAAAAAGTAATGATCTTTTTCTCCCCATGTGACAAATTATTCAACTTTAAACACTTATTATTACCACGAGGTGGATTTTTCTTCTTATGAGAATTATCAGCTGCATACATCATATCATATGTTAGAAACAAGATATAGGTAAAAAGAAATTGATAAAAATATTACTTCTTGTAATTAACAAAGAATATACCTTCTTGTTGAGACTCATTTAGTATTACATCATCACTTTGCACTCGATGATTATTTGATTCTGCAAAAAATTGAGCAATTATTAATCCAATCATAAAAAATAAATTGAAAGATAAAAAAAAAATAATAATAAATTTTAAGTCTCATCAACCTGCAGAATCATCATTCTCTTCATTGTTAGTATTTGCACTTCTCCTGCGATTTTGTGCAAAATTCTCCTCTTCAAAGTTTTCTGAATCAGCACTAAAATTTGTACCCATATTTTGATCTTGTATTGGATTTTGAATATTCAAGTTCTTGTCATGACAAGTACGGAGTTGTTCCCTTCTTAATGAATTTTCTGCAAGTACTTGAAGTCGCTTTCTAATTAATGACCTGGGTGCTAGAAATTGTGCCATTTTGCTTTTGGAAGTGACTTTTTGAGTTTTCATTTTTCTGCTATGAATAGGAATTTAAGTATCATACACTATGTATAAAACAAATGTCAAAAGAGAAATGAATAAAAGAAAAATAAATCCCTAAGGACAAGCATAATAATAAATACATAATACACTTATGTAGAAGCACTTGCTAAAATGTCAAAGCCACATCCAAAATATGAAGAAAAGAACATCATATGTCTAAAAAAAGAATAGTTATAGTGAAGATACAACTTAAAATTTATCTCAATAACACAATATCATTTGTGTTCTATTCTTTAATTAAAGCGTTCTAATTCTCTGCTTGAGTCTTTTTCCTCTTTTTTGAAGTTGAGACCGAATTTACAATAATTGGATCAATATCACTCCTTCTCAAATTGATATAATCATCTTCCAATGATGTTGATGCAATAGCCTGAGCATCAAATGATTCATCTTGCAAATAAGCTTCAACTCCATCGTCTGTTATCCCACCATCATCTGTATATGGTGGCATATCATAGGAATCACGGGGTTGTGCTTTAAGAACTACATGCCAACCTTCATTGGCAATATCCTCAACATAAAAAACTTGTGATGCTTGGCCAGCAAGTATAAAGTGGTCATTCGTCTTTAGCAAGTGTCGGCAGTTAATACTGATAAATCCATATTTGTCTTCTTTCAAAGCGGTCCCTTTTCCTTTGCCGTGCACATCCCACCATTTACAACGAAATAGAACAACCTTTCTTCTACCAGGATACTCTAATTCGACAACTTCAACCAAAGCACCATAATAATCTATATCTCCACCATCACCAGCATCACCAACAACTGCAACCCCACTACTTTGAGTTGACAAACAATTATCTCGACTTTCTGTATGAAATCGATGTCCATTTATGACAAATCCAGTAAAACATTTAACAATCTTACTTGGACCACGAGATAGTGAAAGTAAGTCATCATCTTCTCGATAACTCTGATAAACCTAAACAAAACCAAAATATGATCAAGTCATGGAACATGTAATAAAATGAACCAATCAAGATATTTAAAAAATAAGGCAAGATATATACGTACTAGAGCTTGGAACCACTCGATAAAGTTCTTATCCCAATCTTTATCATCATAGTGATTTGTGGGTTCTCTCACGAATTCATTGTAGTCCCTACATTAAAATATCATAAATATGATTAACGTTGACTAACTATAGTAAATTTATTAGTAGAATCTTAAACTTTAGTGACTTACTCAATGTGTGGTTGCACTTCATCACAGTTCTTTAGAACATAAATATGAGCTTGCAACCACTCACGTTCATCAAGGTAGCGGGTGGTGGCAGCACCCAATGCCCGCCCACTATGTCTGAAAATAGATAGTTGTGCTTCATTACATTCTCTATTGTCATCTTCATAATTTCTTTCAAGGCGATTAAACTTTGTCTCGAAGCCTTTTAGATATCTTGAGCAAAAAGTCATGCATTCATCTGCTATATATCCTTCAGCAATTGACCCTTCTGGACATGCCCTATTTCTGATATATGACTTATAAGTATAAAGCTGACGTTCCACTGGGTACATCCATCGAAATCGAATAGGCCCTCCAAGTATGGCTTCAGATGCTAAATGAACTACTAAATGCAACATAACATCAAAAGTTGAAGGTGGAAAAATCTTCTCAAGCTTACATAACGTAAGTGGAATCTGCTCATCAATTTGCTTAAGTCCATCCACCCTTAATGTCTTGGCACATAATATAGTGAAGAATATGGAAAGTTCAATAATTGGTTCACACACTTTTGCAGGAAGAAGGCCACGAATCGATATAGGAATCAAGCGTTGCAAAAGAACATGACAGTCATGACTCTTTAACCCCAAAATCTTACGCTCTTTAAGGTTTACACATTGAGAAATATTGGATGAAAATCCATCTGGAACTTTTAACTCCTTTAGAAATCGACAAAATTTGCTTTGCTCTTCTTGGGATAAAGTATAACAAGCTGCTGGCATCACAAGTTTATCTCCTCTCTGGATTGGATGTAACTCCGGTTTTAAACTCATTGCTTGTAAATCGAGACGGGCTTTGATATTATCCTTTGTCTTTCCTTTAATGTTCATGATTGTTCCCAGCAGACTATCACAAATATTCTTCTCAATATGCATGACATCTAAATTATGTCGCAATAAGAGAGTTCTCCAATATGGCAAATCAAAAAAAAAAAAAAAATACTTTTTTTTATTCCAATTATCTCCCCGTCTTTCGTGTGATATTTTAATTTTCTTCTCTGGATGATTGGTCAAGGTGATCCCTATAAGATCTTCCACCTACTTAAGGATGTCATCTCCGGTCAGCTTCGGCGCTGCATACCCTCTCTCCCTAGTGCCATCAAATGATTTCTTATCCTTTCTCCAACTGTGATTTTCATCAAGATAGCGACGATGCCCCATATAGCTCTGCTTGCCTCCATATTTTAACCTGATAGAGTGAGTGTGCTTATTACAACAAGGACATGCTAATTTCCCCTTAGTGCTCCATCCAGATAAATTTGAATAAGCAGGAAAATCATTAATGGTCCAAATTAGTGCTGCAAGTAAAATGAAATTCTGTCTCAGAGATACATCATATGTTCGAATGCCTGAGGCCCACAACTCCTTTAGTTCTTCTATCAATGGTTGTAAGTAGGTGTCAATAGCATCTCCAGGACCAGTTGGACCAGGAATGAGCATAGATAAAATAAAATTAGATTGCTTCATGCACATCCATGGTGGTAAGTTATATGGTACAAGTAAAACGGGCCATATGCTATAAGAAACTTTTGAATTTGTGAAAGGTTGGAAACCATCACTTGCAAGACCGAGCCTAACATTTCGGGGCTCTTCGGCAAAGCTTTCATGTAGCTCATTAAAGTTTTTCCAAGCCTTAGAGTCAGCTGGATGCCTCATCACTCCGTCCTCAACTTGTCTTTCATGGTGCCATCTCATATCAGAAGCTGTCTTCGAAGACATGTAAAGCCTTTGCAATCGTGGCTTAAGAGGAAAATATCGCAATGTCTTTTGTGGTATTTTTTTACCATTTGCCTTTCGCTTGATCTCTTTTCCATGTTTATCAAGTTTCCATCTAGAAGCACCACATCTCTGACACGTATCAAGACCTTCTTCATTTTTCCAAAACAGCATGCAAGAGAATGGACACGAATCAATTTTTTCATATGATAGGCCAAGGTCTCGGATTAATTTTTTGGCCTCATCATATGAATTAGGCAGTGTTGATTCCCCTGGCAATAGCTCCTCATTCAAAAACTGGAGCAACATTGAGAATGATTTATTACTCCACCTATTTAGGCTCTTTATGTGAAGTAGTTTCACTAAAGCAGATAACTTTGAACATTTAGAGCCTTCATACAAAGGTTTCTCGGAGTCACCTAAAAGACTGTAGAATTGTTTTGCATGTCCATCTGGTTCCTGCTCAAGAATATCCTGACTCGACGTGGCATCAGGTGCAACAACGCCAGTTGAATTATGAAATAAATCTCCAATCATTTATTGCATTTCATCGTCACTCTGGCTTTCTTCTATCATTTCTTCTTGTTCTTCATCAAAATCCGAAATGGACTCACCCTGTCTTTCGCCTGATGACACCAAAATATGTAGTTTTTAATAATTCCATGAATAATCAAGTGGGTCTTTACCGACTCACGATTACCAGACTTCACATTGCTGCATTTAACACATAGACATCGAATTTCAAAGTCTTCATCCTTTTCATTAAAACTATCCAACAGCTTCTCATATGCATAGTCTAAAAACTGATCAACCCCTTCTTTATATTTTGGATCAAGTCTATCATCATCTACTAGGTCCATCCAATCTTTATTCGGCGCCATTTCAAGCAATGTACTAAAATTTCCTGAAAAATATTTCAACCTCTTCAAAAACTAAACACAAATAAATGCTTAATTTTATGTAGAGACTCATATGTTCAGATATATGGTCATTCTAATGCAAAGAAGTTAACCTATATATGGTATCATTCAGAAAGCATTTATTTATGCAATTATAGGGTCAATTTAAAGGCAAAAATACTACCATAAAACAAATTAGTAAATAGAACAAATTAGTAAAAAAAAACTCATTTTCCTTTCAAAGCACATGTGACATAGGAACTATGATTATAACTAACAAAATGACTTGTTAATGAAAAGTGGTATGTCCAAGCTTGACAAGTACATCTGAATAGCTAAAGAAATAATCATTTAAAATTCATTTAACTTAAGTAAATACCACACATTTATAGGGTATATAATTGCAACATGTATAGGGTATATAATTGCAACATGTATAGGGTACTTTAAGCCAATATAATTGCAACATGTATATAATGATGGTCAACTGGTCTCTTCACTAATTTTGGTCGTTAAATACCAGATTTCTTGTAGCGATGAACATTTGAGTGAGCAGTCAAAAGAGCGGGGATTGAGTAAGGATTTGGACAACACGTGAAAGTGGAGATGTAGACGGAGTACATGAATAATAGAAATATCATAGTTTTAAGAATAAAGAACTTTTGAATACTATCTTGTTTGCCATTGGAATTCTCCAAGTCTAGATAATGGTCATGATGATCAATGCTTGTCAATTTGTTCCAATAATTTCCTTAAGCAATTACTTATCGGTGGGATTGGTATAAGTTTTTAAACAATCATATAAATATTTTTTGATGGGAAGAATAGAATCAAAACTTATTTGCAAATTCATAAATGTTTTTGGCTTTAATTGTTACAAGGGGGTACTTAAGTGCAAAGTAGTTTAAACTATAGGGTCTGTACTAAAATCAAACAATAACTGCAAAAATTACCGTCGAGCCGCGCGATGGAGGAAGAGTTCTCGACGACGGCGAAGAGTTCTCGACGACGACGGCGCAGGGGCGGCGACGGCGCTGGGGCGGNATTGCTGGACGACGACAAGATCTGGAGTTGACGAGATATCGATGCCGACTATGAACTCGATGACAGTGAACTCGAGACCACGATGGTGTTGACGACGGGGAACTCGAGATGACGCCGACTATCACCGACGAACTGGAGTTGACGAACAGGTGCTGACGACGCCGACTCTCGAGAGGGCGCACGATGAGTAACGATGACGACGACGATGAATAGTGAAGGAGCGGATGACGATGAGGATCGCGCGGACGACGACGAGGAGCGGACGAAGACCGGAGATGGAGACGACGACGACGGGCAGTTTTTGTAACTAGGGTTTATTTATTAGTTATAGCGCGGTTGATTAAATAATAATTAGGAGTCTTAATAATTTGGTTTGTAATAGGAATAGGTTAATTCTAGATTATTTTGTAGTTTATTAATTCAGTTTTAGTTGGGGCTTCGGGTTTGGTTATGGGATTTGTTAATAGCAATAGGTTAATTTCAATCCAATTATGATTAGGAGTCCCATCAATGAAGGTAATGGACCCCTTCATTTTTAAGGAGACCCAATAACGACGGTAGTAGGATCAAATCAACGAAGGGATTAGAAATCCGTCATCCCATATCACATTATTTCTCTATTATTTGAAATCACTCCACGAAGGGTTTAAAACCCGTCGTTATTATATACCCATTAATGACGGTCAACTGGTCCCTTCACTAATTTTGGTCGTTAAATATCAGATTTCTTGTAGTGCTTAAATTTGCTGAGAAAAATAAGCCGCCGTCTCTAGGGATTTTTTCTCCTTCTGCTCACGCGCTCCTATGAACAGGGTTTCCCTTTTATAGGGAAACCCAAGGGAGAGCTTCCCCTAGCTGGTTCCAGTTGGATCAAACCATGCTAGGCGAGCACGAGATCCAGCAGACGAGCTCCATGCTAGTTGTCTCCTACTATGTAGGCAAGTTCTCCTTGGCAAGATCCAACAGGCGAGTTTTAATCTCGCCTTCAACAACTGCTGCAGGCGAACACTACATCCGCCAGCAGGCGAGCCAAAACCTCACCATTAGGCGAGTCCACCACAGGGGAGTGACTTGCCTCTCAACCTCTTCATCGGGCCTCTACAGGCTACCTTCCTCGCCTCCTCAACTTCGTCATCGAAGGCGAGCTTCGATCTTAGGTTCACCCTTCAATAAATCTCCACCTCGGCGAATGTTTCCCAAAAAACTGAGCTGACACCAACCAAAAAAATGTCCCACTTGTTACGTCTAGTACGAAGTGAAACAATTCACGACAACAGACTCAATCCATAATAAGTCAGGAACCTAAATGAGAATACAAACATTCATCAAATGTTGGTATCTACTCACCAAATTGGCTACTTCATAAATGACTACCTACGTATCCTCTTGCCCTAGGAATCAAGCCTTCACGTAGTTTACCTAATGACCTCCAAAGGCCCTCAACAACGAAGAATATTCAGCAATTCCAAACAGTGACCAAATTTCACTCCCGTGATAACTTTGGTCAACATATCTGCCGGATTGTCCGTTGTGTGGATCTTCTCCAATCTGATGTCTCCATCACCCAATACGTCTCAAACAAAATAGAATCTGACATCAATGTGCTTTCTACGGGCATGATACACCTAGTTCTTGGCTAAATAGATAGCTAACATGCTATCACAATGTACCCTGATGGTACCCTGTGCAATCCCCAAGTCATCCAATAACCCCTGCAACCACAAAGCCTCATTCATAGCTTTAGTCAATGCCATATACTCTGCCTTCGTAGTGGAGAGAGCCATTGTAGAGTGAAGTGTGCATCTCTAACACACTGGTGCTCCTGCTAGTGTAAACACATATCCAGTAGTAGACTGGCGTTTGTCAAGATCCCCCGTATAATCAGAATCCACATAACCAATACAATCCTGCCTATTCTTCCCATTCTTCTCGAATACCAAACCAACATCTACGGTACCTTTTATACACCATAGAATCTACTTCAAGGCCTCCCAATGACCCTTCCCAGGGTCGTATACGTATCTTGATACCATGCTCACAGCCTGTGACAAATCTAGCCTTATACACACCATCATATACATCAAGCTACCCACAACATTGGCTTATGAAACTTTGGATATATATTCATGATCCTCAACTGAAACAGGTGATATCTTAGCTGATAGCTTAAAGTGGAGAGCTAATGGAGTACTCACCACCTTGGCATTATCATCATAACTGAATTTCTTCAGCATCTTCTGTAAGTAACTCCTCTGTGTCAACTTTAACCTTCCCTTCACCATGTATCTCTCAATCTCTATACCCAATATCTTCTTTGTTTCTCCAAGGTCCTTCATCTCAAATTCGGATGATAGCTCATTTTTCAACTTTCTAATAGCTGAAATATTCCTGGAAGCTATGAGCATATCGTCAACATATAACAACAAATAAATATACTCACCATATTGTAGCTTGTGCATGTAAACACATGGGTCATATGGGCTTCTCGTGTACCCTCGGCCAATCATGAAGCTGTTAAATCTCTTGTACCATTATCGTAGCGATTGCTTCAATCCGTAAAGAGACTTCTTCAGCTTGCATACTAATTCTTTCTTTCCTGCAGCTTTAAACCCTATAGGTTGTGTCATGTAGATCTCATTTTCTAAATCTCTATGTAGAAATGCTATCTTAACATCCATCTGGACTAAATCCAAATCCAGCTGTGCCACCGATACTAATAAAATATGAATCAACGAATGCTTCACAACAGGTGAAAATACCTCGTTATAATCAACACCCTCTAGCTGTGCATATCCCTTGGCAACCAATCTGGCTTTGAACTGAATGCCCCCAATAGAAGATCCCTCTTACTTTGTATACACTCACTTACATCAAATAGCCTTATTACCCTTTGGTAGCTTTGCAAGTTCCTAAATTTCGTTCTTCTAAAGAGACTGCATCTCCTCCTTCATAGCTTCCCTCTACCTAATCGAATCAGAGCTTGACTCTACTTCCCTGAATGTAGAAGGAACCAAATCATCAACGACTTCTGTTGATAAAGCATATGCAACCATGATATCATCATATCTAGCTGGCCGACAAATATTTCTTCTTGGTCTATTAGCTGCAATAGACTCCTGAACATGACCTTGTTCCTGAGTCCTAACATCCACTGTATCCTCCACCTGTCCATCTATCATATCATCTCCTCCTAGTGTCACCTCTGTAGGAGTCTTAATAGATACAGTGCTATCTGAAGTCTGAGGAGTCACATCATCCTCTACCAGCTGTGATACCCCACTAGTCTGGCCTTCCTCCACCTGCTGAGGAATCTGAGACCTCATCATGTGAGCCTCATCAAACGTGATATTTCTACTAATGATCATCTTCTTGTCTTGTGGATCCTATAACTTTAAGCCTTTAATTCCATCTTTAAAGCCCACGAAGACTGCTTTTCTAGCTCTCAGATTTAATTTTCCATCATTCACATGATAGTAAGCTGGACACCTGAATATCCGAAGCAACTCATAATCACTAGCCGCTGAACCAGACCATTTCTCCATAGGAGTCTTTCCATGTATCGTAGTACACGATAACCTATTCACGAGATGGCTT